TTACACTTCTCTGTAAGTTTTTTAAGATTTAAGTTACAGGCAATAAGCTGCACAAAAGAAACAGAAGCATTTGCAAAGATGCATCTAGTCTGACTGAAAATCACAGATTTATATTACCTAATTATTCATCTGAATATCTGGATTCTCAGTAGCCTATGCAAAGAATTATCAGACCTTAAAAAAAAATGCATGAAGAGGTTTGCAAGTGTAGAAGATGAAATGGGAAGAGAGCTCCTTTTTTATAACTGTTTTGCATGTTCTCTTATTTCATTTCTGCTTTAAAAGCTGTATAGACGGAATTTGAAACTGTCTCCTAAAAACTACATAGGCACTTGTTTTTAACAAAGAGGAATTAATACTAAGGAAAAACTTCCTTAAACGATAACAAATCCAGAATTTCCTGTGTGTTAAACCATAACCTTTTTTCCCTCCTGACCTCACAAATTACTTGTTGATATATGATTTTCCTTTTATTCCTTCTCAGAATGAGAAGCCTATTTTATATCTGTTTGGTATGTAAAAAATGCTGTTCCTCTCCTCTCAATTATTTTTAATATGTTTGAGGGGGAAAAAAAACCACAAAGTTGGTGAATATTTATTCAGTTTGCTTTGACAGCATTTTGTTATTTAAGACATAAATCAGATCTGGAACAACTTTCTTCAGGGAAAAATTGTTTATCTGAACTTGAGTGTACTTGTGAATCCATCATGGAAATGATACTCATGCTATTGCTGTGTAATAGTAATTATTTGCATTGTTTAACATTGTTTTGTTTTATGAAGTAAGGCTAGACTGCATAGAGATGCTGGAATACATCTACAGATCAATGTAAGATCAGAGCCATTGACCTCAGTCCTCCAAATAATGATGTGCATGTTTATCTATCAGTGCACATTACACCAGTGTCAGAACTCTTTTAGCATGTAAAGTTAAATGATGCATGACTGGTTTGTGGGGTCCAGACCCAAGTTTATTCTCAAGACAAAGCCTTGAAGGCTCAGGGCTACAAGGCTAGCTCACAAAGAAATGCTTAGGAAGAGATAAGTAAATATGTTTTTGAATTGGCTGCTAGTTCATACTATGTCCTCATTTGGCTGTGTGGTTCTTCATTAATATTTTAACATTCGTGGCATTTTTGTATGCACATAGGGGTTGCAACTTCATGCCCTTCAAAACCGACAATACATTCTTTGTGTCCAGAAATCTTATACTGCTTTAGCAGCTTTGGGAGCAGAAAGAAAAGAGGTTTATTCCTTTAGTAGTACCTGCTGAAGATATTTGAGGACGCACAAAGACAAATGCTTTCCCAACAGAGTACACAATTACTGTTTGCAAAGACAATCCAGACTTAACTTTTTATACTTCTGAGCCTGACAGTGTATAGTACTTTCATTCACACACAGTGAGTGTTGACTTTTATCATATTATTAGTATTCTAAACTCACAGTTTCAGAGTTTTATAGCTCAACAGTAGGTTTAGACTCAGTAAATTCAGCCCAGGAGCACTGTTTTTCAGTCCAAGAGGCATCTTTAGTTGCTACAGTATCAAGCAGAGTTTACCCTGTTTACTTCAGGTTTTTTTAATGTCTAAGATAACAGATTTTAAGGAAAAAAAAAAAAAAAAACAAAGAAAACCACACCCAACAACTCCTGAAATTAAGAATTGTTTCAGTCAGAGTTTCAGTCCTCCAATTACTAGCCTTCTTTCACATAATTGGAAAAAAATGAAAAGTCTGAATAATAGGCATTTTGAATCAACTCCTGAGGACTTATAATGGACCACATTCAATATAATCCTGTGCAAATCTCACTGACATCAATAAATATGTTCTGTACACATCCTGTTTTTAAAATCCTGCATGCATAATTACAGTCAGCATTGTTTCTACCGTGGGTGGATGCAACTCTGAATGTAGATTTGTACTGCAACCACAATGGTTCTCTCCTGAGACAAATTCAGAAAGCTGTTCATAAGCTGTTCTGGACTTTTAAGTAACTAATCCCATCCCACAGATACACTCTCAGGTACATTTTGTTAAAGAAAATCAAACACTTTAGAATTTGTATTTACATGACATTCACTGTTCCAGTATGTGGATAAATTATATGCATTTTATCACGTTCACTTACAGAGAAATTTAAGTTTTGTACATATCATAGCAACAGTAAAATAATGTTAAGCTCATTATATAAGGTAGCATACACTATACCGGATCTCAGCTATTTTCCTTCCTTTCTTGTATCTGTGAAATAAAGGGAATTTTAAATTTATATTTCTTGGGAATAATACATATGTATGACAACCAGATTGTTTCTCAAGCATTTGATATTGCCTGTTTAATTAATGTTACTTCTGTGTGCTTATGTAATCACCATTAGAACACAGAAGGACATATTGTACTTATTGCCTGTGCTAGAGCATAATGTGCTGGACTACAACAACTACACTTGTTAAGCTGATTTTAGCATTTCTTCACACAGCAGGAAGCACCCATGCTGTGGTTTCTTAATATACTCTTTCAGTACTGTACTGGAGAGTACTGTATAATAATAATAATTAATAACAATTCTCATCTTACCAGTACTGCTGCCAACCTGATGACCCAGGTTATGGTTTCAGAGTTCCACTATCCTGTACATTGAAACATACATCTTTCTTTTCAGGGTTTCATTTCTCAGATGATATTGCTGAACAGAGCTGAATTTTTTTAAGGACAGGCTTGTTGCATGGATTCTCATGGCCCCACATTTGTTCAGGTCTCCAAGGACCAGCACCAATAAGTGTGAAGGAGACAAGAGCAGGATGGCATACTTTTCCATTTCCACCAGGGTGGAAAAAAGAAAAAAAGAAAAAAAACACTAAATTAAGTCTAACCTTAAATGTATAATCTGTCCTTGGAAGAGGAAAAAAAAAAAAAAAAAAAAAAGGATATAGCATCTTCAAGCTCTTGGCATCCCTTACGAGAAAAAAATTGGTTCTAAGGGTCTCTGATCTTGTGTTTTAGTAAAATAGAACTGCACGGCTGACTGACAGTTCTGATCTAAAGCATTTACGTTTAAGTTTTGATCTCTCTGCTTTTGATTAAAACTAATGAGCTCATTTAATTCAAAATGGGAATCTCTGATAAGAGAAATAAGGTTGATGTGATTGGATTAGAGGGGCAAATTAAACTCTTAGAGCAGAAGTTTGTGCTTATATAGTGTATTAAAAAGCTGTTGGCGTATTATGGCGTGTTAGATGATGAGAAAAATTTCATAGTAATTCATATTTAATCAGAAGAAATGAAAGTACTAAATATAACATGGCTCTGCTTTTCCCTCGAGTGATAAAGAGCTGTACATTTAAAATGACATCGAATCCATGCTCTCTAAAAAAAAAAAAAATCTTGAAACATGAACGAAAGGAACATTGTAGTCTATTATTTTATCACAATTGAGCTGAAATGTCTGAAACAGAAGACAATGTGACCACAATAAAATAAAGACATTTTTATAAAATCCATAGTTCACAAACAAGTTTTGGTGTTTCTGTTCACTGCATAACATACTTGTTAAATACTTTAAAACTTTCCACTAGTAATTTGGTTGGTTCTTTAGAACAGTAGCAGAATAATTTCAAAACAATTTCAAAATAACTTTTTATTCAGTGTTAATTACTGATTGGAACTGAATGTGAATTAAGCTCCATTAGTGCTTATTGTAAGTCTACTCCAGAATTTTCCCATACACAATACTATGAGAAGAGGTAGGGAACTGTTGGTTATCAAGGTGATAAACAGCAACAACAATGATTGTGTAGAGAATATTTTGGTGCTAATTATTGTTGTAACCAATAGTTTACCATGATTTATACTAAGAGTATTTATTTACTGTTTATAAATGGTTGCAGTTCAGGAAGTGACAGTCAAAGGTGAGATCCACCACTTAAAGGAAAAGCTGAAAAACACTGTTCATTACTAGTTAGTCACCAACAAATAAGTTATGATTATTATCAATAATGGTAAAAATAATAATAATAATAATAATGCCTTAGTCACATGAGCATATTTTACTTCAAGTTGCTTTATTTCTTTATTGATAATAATTAACCCTCAGTAACAGGGAAATCAGGGCATTCACAAACAGCAGTTCTTATCCTAGGAAAGAAAGAAATGGAATCTTGGGAATGAAAGTCTGCAGAATTTGCTGCCTCTTTCAGCAAACAGAATTGCTTCCTTGGTGACACTTTCTTATTCAAAAAACACTGAAGAAGTCCATTACTTTTAAAATGCCACAAAGATGGTCAGAATGCTGGAGCTCCTCTCCTATGAAGAAATGTTGAGGGAGCTGGGCATGCTTAGCTTGGAGAAGAAAAGGCTCCAAAGAAGAAAAGGAAGAATCGTTGTGGCCTTCCCATAGCTGAAGTGATCTTATAAACAGAAGGGGGACTTATTTTTACATAATCTGATAGTGATAGGTTATGTTTTTAATTAGAAGAGGAGAGATTTAGATCCAAGCATCTAGCTTGGAGGAAATTCCTTAGTCGGGGCAGTGAGGCAGTAAACAGGTTGCCCAGAGAAGCTGTGGATGCACCATCCCTGGAGGGTTGGATGGGGGCTCTGGACAGCCTGATCCTGTGGGTGACAACCCTGTCCTCAGCAGGGAGTTGGAAATAGTGACTTTAAGGTCTCTTCCAGCCTAAGCCATTCAGTGATTCTATGGAATGCATTCATAGCAAAACTGTGCAAGAAAGAGTTAATGAAGTAAATCTCTGGGAAAAAAAAAAAAAAAATCTGTGGAGAAAAGAACTTGAAAATGAGTCTGAGTATACGTATATTTTTCAATTTTTTTTTTTTTTTTGCTAAGTAAACATTTTCTAAACGAGGTAAATTGATTACAGCACTCTTAGCAACCATCAGTCATTTATTTTTAGTGAGTTCAAGGATTGCACCTGAAAAGTAGCTGAGAAGGGATGTATAAAATCTAAATTATGTATATATGTATTTTTTCTATTCCCTAGTCGAATCTACAAGCCCCAGTTTACTAACCACTGACAACACTCTAGAGCGTTCTTTTTTCATCCGAATGAAATCTACACTGACCAAGAGAGGAGTGCACATCAAATCGTCAGGATATAAGGTAAGGGTTGCATTGTAGCATGAAATACTGACATTTTTAAATTATATTATTTCATGTAGCAAAGACACATTAATAGTCAGAGAAAGGAGCTGTTTCATGTTTGCATAGATTTCAACTCTTTTGTTAAAGAATCATTAGTGCATTATTTCCAGCCTAAGGTTTGGTAGTGGTTCTACACATCCATTAAATTGATCGTTATTACAGTAAACATTGATTATAGCATGAAGACCCTCAAAAAAGCAGCACTTCCACAGTAAAGGTACATTTTCTCAAAGTACGTGAGCCACAGTAGAATCACTTTTTCCCTCGAGGAAAATTACTACTTATTTAGGTAGACTGTTAGTTGTCTTTAGGTTATATGTTTTCTCAGAGATGTAGGACTTCTCCATGTGGACTGTTTGCTAGAGCTATTTAATTTCACTGCTGTTCTAGCTGAAGGAAACAACAAGCCATAATGATACTTTTCCTCCATTTTTCTTTTGTTGTCTGTCTGAGGGGTATCTGCTTCTGGGGATCGTATTTACTGTATTTCTTACTCTTTTAAGATATGAAATGCTCTTGTTTCTTATCAATAGTAATCTCATTTTTCTTCAGTCATATATTGCTCATAGTGCCTGTAGCTATCACTGGCTTTGTGGTATACTAAAACTAGAAGCAATAGCACATTTTTAACATTGTGAACCTGTGGAATGAAATATGCCATCCATTAAGTATTATACAAGTTAAAAGAGTAGTGCAAGGAAGAAAGTCTGAGAATGTCTGTGTTTAGAGAAGGTGCTTGTCAATGTTCATTTAAAAACATTTCAAGAACATTTTTGTTTAGTTTTCAGAGGAAGATTTAGAGGAGCTTTGAAGTAAAATTCCCCAGTTCACTCATCCCAAAATATTCTTTGTGAATATGACATCAAGGTAGTCCACCTGAGTAGTAAAATTCTCTTGGTAGAAATATAGAAATATCTTCTTTGCAGGCAAATGAATGAAAGTTTTCCTGTTAGATAGTTTCTGGATCAAGATGATTAAAATAGTTGCTACTGGAATTTGAGATCCAAATGAAGTTTCTTAATACAACAGAAATTATCATCTGCTTACTTCTTAGCACCTGAAAGATTGCATGTAGTATTTGTTCGTACTGACAGGTTTACAAGTCTTAGAAAGTACAAGACTGGAAATTGTATTGTCAGTCTCAGGAGGAAGGAGGCGAATGAATGGGTAGGTTATTGAAATTATACTCATTTTCATTATTAGACATGGTCTATCATAAGGCATTGCCTATCTAGGGCAAAGTTAGATTGGCAGAGAACTTGCATTGCTGGATATTTTTGCTGTAGTAGTAATGGGAAAAAAAATTGAGAAAAATTTGGATTGTGCTGTCTGATGTTTTTTTTTCTAGATGTAGGTGAGTACACAAGGAAGACATACAAGTGATTTTGTCATTGTTTCTTCTTGAACTCCTGACAAGCTTACATGAGTCCAGCACCAAAACAGGACATAGGCTGGTTACACAAGTAGATTTTATCTTGTTACAATACAGTTTCTGAAATACTCAGGAAGACATAGTAATATCTATCATAAAAGCGTAGCTTCATTTCTCTTTTGAAACCTGCTGATATCTCATTGAAACATTGAAAACCATAACCGAGCTGTCACAGGTAGAGCACAATTACGATTGAAAAACCCGATACCATTTTTAAGCAACTAGTTCTAGACATGAAGAATGGAAAAAAAAAAAGCATGAAAAAAAAAAATACGATAGCTGACAAAACTGTCTATAACTAAAACCTTTTTTTCCCCAAATTTTTCCATGAGGCAGCAATGCAACCACATGAATAAACTTGCAGATACAGTGTGCAGTGTACAGAAGCATAGTCCAGTGGATTTTTGACATTTTGGAGGATTTTGTATCTGATAGTGTTTGACTAAATTCAGCTGTGTCCAGTTGTATAAATTGCACTTCAACAGTTTTGTAAAAACATGCATAAAACACTCTGTGTTCTATGGAATTATAATTATCTTTAGCTTCAGTGAGTTTCAGTAAAACTGTATATTCATTTTAGAAGAGTTTGATCATGTGAGTGTCTTTTTAAGCAGAAGTAAAACCTGCTTTGTTTAAACGTCACTCTCAGTGTACTAGGCAAGCCTAAAAAAACTCAACTGCTACAGAGAACATCATCTATACTTTTAAGGAAATTTGCCAGCTTGTTCATTGACTTCTAGAAATCCAATGCTAGAACAAACTGTAGACCTCTGGAATTTGTTTAGGTATATATTTTATAAAACTTAGGAAAGATCCATGAGACGTAAGGATGTACAGCTGTGAGAAATTATTAAAAGGAAAAATATTTATGTAATACTGGCAAAGCTCATGAGGAGACCTGAATGCATTCTGTGCCAGAGGGCCCTGAAAGACCTCCAGCCTTTAGTCAGAAAGCACTGTACCAGCTGGGGCCATTTGCAGTAGAGTTTCTGAGGGAAATCCTGGTGGACCAGCTCAGAAGCCACTGCTTCAGAACACTGCAGAGCACTGAATTTTCCCTCCTGGTTTAATAGCTTCCCTTAAGCCCTTCTGTTGTGTGTGGGTCACCTTCATAATCAAGCATGCAGACATTCACTGAGAGCAGTGTATCGCGAACTTGGTATCTTATGAGAGTCAGATTTTGGCTTTGCCAAATGTACGCAGCTCCCCATGAATTCAGACCTCCAGCATGACAAAAATTTTGTATATTTGTGAAATGTTTCTTGTTCCAAACTCTTGGTGAACTCAGAACTGTGTCTTCATTTTTTCTTCCCTTTGAGGACTGCTGATGAATGTTTTCCTTAGACAGCAAATGATTGAGGTGGTCCACAAGATGCTTAGGCAATTTTCAGAATGAGTGATCCCAGCCTCAGGAAAATCACATAAAATTGAAAACAGTCAGAGAAGAAGATTGATTAATCATTTGGGTTGATCTAGTCAGGACTAATTTTCTGTGAAAAGAAATGTGGGAACAAAACCCACACTAATAGACTTACAAAGATCCATATATGTGTGCCTCAAAGAGACTTTGTTCTTGACTGCTCTGACATGAGATGAACCCTGTTTATAGACCCTTCCTGGACTGATTTAATTAGTCCTGAATTATACCTAAAGATGTAGATAATGGCTTTTTTTTTTCATGAATGGCATAACCTTAGAAGTCTGAAATGAGAAGGCTGCTACATGATTAATCTACCCTCTTTCTTCCCTTTCATTTTTTCCCCAGCACCATCCTACAATGGGATTTTCCTGATTAAGAATATACTTAGTCCTAGAGTATGTATGAGAAGAGTTTATACACAGTCTAGAGAGTTATTCAGTTCTCACTGTGTAAATCAATGATCTTTTAAAAAAAAAAAAAGTCAAATAAAATGTAGTCAGCTACAAAAAACATTGAAAACAAATAAAAAGAGAAAAAATTAGTAATTCCATTCACTGTAGAACTCAGCATGTATTACCACTACAGCTCTTGTCTAAGATGCATGATACAGAGCCTTACTGTTTTTCTCTGCTGAAAATATATAGTAGAATCATAAAGTCATAGAATGGCTTGGGTTGGATATGACCTTAAGGACTATCCTGTTCCAACCCTACTGCTTTGGACAGAATTGTGCCTCACAAGATCAGGCTGCCTAGGGCCCCATCCAATTTGGCCTTGAGGATCTCCAGGCATGGAGTATCCACAACTTCTCTGGGCAACCTGTTCCAGTGCCTCGCCACCATCTGAGTAAAAATTTGTGCTTCACATTTAATCTGAATTTATCCTCTTTTAGTTTAAAATCATTCCCTCTTGTCTCATCACTATCATATAAAAACTCTGTCTCCCTCATCTTCATAAGTTTCTTGTAGCATCTTCCTTTTTTTTCCCCTTTTTCAATAGAAGTTTTTTTTTATTTCACTTGGATTCTTATTGTCTCCATTTTATCTCTTCTCCTGTATTTCTCCTATTAAGGGTTGCTATCCTACCTACTTATGTTATTCCAACTTCAATGTTTCTATTGTCCTGTATTCTTATACATATGTCAAAGCTATTTTTAATTGAAAGCTACTCCGTGCAAACTTGTTCAGTGCATTTCCTACTCCCTGTAGTATCCTATTATTGTTTTGTTTTTACCTTCATGTCAGATTGTGCTATGATTCTCTTTGTCCAAGCCTTTACAATCTGTTACTGGTCTCTTGAACAAAGCACTATTAAAGGAATAAAGAAGTAGTCAGCAAATCCAACATCAACAGAGCCAGTAGTTTCCAGTACTTTCAAGTTCATCAGCTCATCATGTGTTAACATATACCCATACATATTTCTCTACTGTTTTCTGCAGATGATATATAATTTCTCCCATGATAAATCATTACCAAGTTGCATAAGCAAAAGTAGGGAGATCTCGTAGTACTTCCACTGTCACCGCAGCAGTCTCTGATATTGGCATAATCAACATCTGTTACCTCTCCATTTCCCAAGAAGCTGGCAATCAAAATTCTTGCCTATCAGTCAGCAGAGAAAAGGTCATTTTAAAAACCCTGCAGGTTTTACCTTCCTACTTAGAGTGGTACTTTCTACCTAGTATGCTATCTAGGTGCCTCATTTTGGCAGGTTCAGTATCAATAAGAAGTGCCAGTGTCAACATTCTCCATTTTTGTATCATTAAAACATCAAAACCATTGAGATCACAAGGCAATGAATATGCTGTAGACAGTTCAGTAACTAGAAGTAAACAGAGCAGCTGTCATGCACTGAGCAAAATCTTACCTATATCCTTAGGCTTTTGAGCCAATGTTATTAGCTATTTAGAGAGATATACATAGAGAAATATATAGATATATGTGACTTTCAGGAGTCCTGAAATCCTTTAGCATGGCACAGAATTGTCAGAATCATAGAATCACCAAGGTTGGAAAAGACGTCTAAGATTATCCAGTCCAGCCATCCACTTATCACCACTATTTCCCACTAAACCATGTTGCTTAGTACAACATCTAAACGTTTCTT